CAAACAACAGATTTATTTTTTTACTGAAGGGGACTTACCCATTATCTGGTCTCTACGCTGAAGTCTGAACGTCTCTTTTCCAACACAGAGTTGGTAGATGAAGATACCCAAATCAGACACATTATCTATCTCCTCTGTGACCACCATTTCTTCACGGACTAGGTAGGTCTGAGGCAAGTAAGAGCCAGTCTGGAAGAGGAAAAAAACCAAACCCTTAAGATACAGTATTCTGCTAACAGCAGACAAACATCACTACATTTTACTCTTTGCTTTGGAAGGGCTTCAAAAGCACTAGATTTCGTTTTAATACTAAGATATGCTATGAACAGCTCCATACCAGACAAGTTAAAAACTAACAAAGGCTATTTCAAACAAACAGTTGCAGTTACATCCAAACAAAGCGCAGTTAACCTTAATATTGCTTGCCTCACAGGAAGCAAACATAAATAGAACCTGTTTGAGTTCATTTTTAACTGCAAACTCTGTTGCATCCAAGAGGAGAAAAAGGATTACAAAAGTTTCCTTCCATGTTTGAGGCAATGTATTTCTAACACAAAAAAAGCAGCAGGACCTACAAAATCACGGCACATGTTTGAGGCAATGTATTTCTAACACAAAAAAAAGCAGCAGGACCTACAAAATCACGGTTTATTGAAACGACTTCCCACCCCTCACAACCAACTCCCAGAAACAGCGGCAGGGAGACACATTAAAGCTTGTCTTCCTGAAGCTAAAGAAAATGAAACAAGCTAAGCTGGATCAGATGGCCCCTTAGCACCAGGTGGAGAGGAATCAATGACTTTTTTGAAAGGGACATTTGACACATGATAGTTCAGTATTGCATTTAATTTGAAAGTAGCAGCAGATTCTATCAACCTGACCCATAAGATAAAGTCTTCTTGGAAAAATACCAGTTTTAGTCACTAAAGAGTCAAAGCGCTTGCGGTGAGCTCATAACTACAGCGCCGATAAGACAGAAGAACAAGTAGGCATTGTTTTTTTTCATTAAAACTCTCATGGGGCAAGTGAGCTTTCTGGTAGGAACTTCCAGGTTTAGGCTTTCAATGATATTTGGAGCTTTATCAAATTCCTTTATAATAGCTAAATTTAACTTATTTGCTGGTTGCTTTCAGCTTTCATAAAGCTAGGTATTAATGAGAGCATTAAGCGTGAATCTGCTCAACGTCATATACGCTGACAGCTGGCCTTAACTTCAGCACACGACTGAGCCAGGGGGATTATGTACTTCGATGGCAAGAGGACTGTAACTCAGGAGGGAACACCCAGTATTCTTATCAAAAGGGACCTTGTCAGCATAACTAAACAGGAAAGTTTCCACGTACCGCCAGTTTCGCGAAGAGATCCATCAGGTTTCTTGGCGGCATAACTATGGACGTGTTCAGTGGAATCACATAGCAGTTACCCAGTTGCAAGTCAAGATACGCCGTCAAAAGCTATTTTGAAAACAAGTTTTCAATTAATTAAGTGTGGCCTTTGGTTATTAGAACACAGGTCTCCAAGGACCAGGAATGAAGCTCAAAAAGCTGGAGGTGATGCACAGCTGGTATCGAAGCGATGCATTCGGGAACTGGCCAGTGTAAGAACTCAGCTATTACCACTTCCACAAACAAAGTGATTATAGCTACAGCTTACCACAGGACTTTTGTACAGAAGTGAGAGCTGACTATAAAAGCAGTTTTTATCATAATTCTAAATGAGTACAATTTGTATGAATACAGACAAAGTATATTTGGGAGTACGCTCTCCTAACTGAAAAAGTCCAATTAAGCACAGTGCGAACAAAACTGCTGATAAGCAATCACTCCCTGTAGATAGTTCTTCAGAAAAACTATTAGTTTCCAGAAAGTCACATCAGCACTGCCACCGACTGCAAAACCTGCAGAGACTAAAACTACCAACATATCTACTTGGTTTATTGTGACTTTGCACAGCACTTAGCCAGAATCAACTGAAGTTCTTATGTTGCCTGAATCCTTTAAGTTACAACCAAGATCCTGTCAAGACACCACCGATAAAAGCTGCAAATACCGCAAACACAGCTAGCACAGCTTGGCAGTCCACGCCGCTGTTAAAGGCAGCATGTACCAAGGTCAGTTCTAATGTCTTTACCCTGACTATATCTACAACATCAAGGTTTGATTTACAAACAACCTATAAGAGCTTTTACACTGGACTAAGTGTAACTGTTAATCCTATCAATGCAACTTTAATAAAAAAAATTCAAATTAAAGCTATCCTCTCATCTTTGCTTTAGAGAAACTACATGCAACTAACACAGCATTTTCAGGTTCTGGGTTTTAGCCACTGGAAGTGATTTTTCAATTCACTTATCCAAGGAGAAGGAGCCCACACTTGTTTGGAATTCTACATTTTGCTGTAACACAGTCTGGCAGAATCTTAGACCGAATCCTCATTTCTTAACTCACATTTACAATGTTCTCCTACCCTCACTTTCATTTACATAGGATTCTTGACCAAATAGCAAGCGTCACTTCCAGACATCCTATGAGCAACAGTATTTAAAGCTGTATAGCACTGAGATGCATCGTTCCGATTAACGATTCAGTCAGAGTCACCGTGGGTGTGAACTATCCAACATTCTTGTAACACTCCTCCCTTGCAGAAGTTAAGTCTACTAATAGAGAGTTAAAAGGATCAGATTTCCCACACTTAAACCCATCCCCAAAAAGAAGCTTGCATCGACAGTAAGCTTTAAAGGTCTCAAGAATGAAAGCCCTGGAGCTGTTATGATTACCATCTGCTCCACAGTTTCCCAGTGAGCAACAAGACTAGTTATCTCTTATCACTTCACATGTACTCACCCTATCAAAGTCATGAACGATCGCTGCTGGATCACTGTCTGAGAACTTTGGAACGGGCACATCAATGATGGCTATGTTATCATCCTCTCGAATGTCAGCTTCTTCAGCAATAGGGAGGAAATAAGGTTCTGCCGCACGATCACGATTTTCATTTTCAAAGTAACACATTTCACCACGGTACACCTTATGCTGAAAGCCAGAGCAAGGCGAGTTATTTTTTACAACAAACGTTGCTTTAAAACTGTATGTCTAACACTTACACTATGACAAAGCACAGGTCTGACACACCTGGAGCTTTTATAAATGACATCACGGTCTTCATGTCCCAGTTATTGAAGGTTTTCTATTATAGGGGTAATCCATTTATAATTACACTTTTTCTTATTCAGTTATGCTTAAAAAAACCCCAAAACTTTCACATTACCTTAGGCATGAAGTACTTGTAGATGCAGGCTCCACCGACAACAACTCCTGCCAAGATGAATGCTAGACCCAGCAGAGTCAACAGACATCTTCCAGATGAGTTTTCACTTCCATGTGTGGCAATTTCTGGATCCTTTAAATAAAGACGGATGAGAACTTAGAAAGTGTAGCCACTCTGAATTTAAAGCTGTTCTCCACTGCTCCATTTTGACCTACCACCTTCTATTTCTTCTAGGCATGCAGTGAGAATTTTAAGTCAAACATCATATAATAAGAAAACACACAAGATACCATTGTATCATACTAAATATACTAAACACCTATAACAAAAGATACAGAGCTGCAGTTAGTACAAGGAAAGCAAGAATTGTAGAGCAAGGTCATTCTAAGGTATGCAGCATTTTCAGGCCTCTTCCCAAAAGCCTATTTCCGATTCTCCTTTTGCCATCAGATGGCTTAAGGTAACGTTACTTTTCCTTACAGAGCTGGACTAACAGAAAAAGCTAAGATGCAACTTTGTCTATTAGCTGTGCAACAGACACGAGTCAAACATTCAGGTTTTAGAACTTGTAACATGCACAAGTGAAGTCCACTATGAAAGAGAACCACTCGTCAGCTTAAATGCAGCTTAAAATAAAAATAAGTCCCTGTGGCACATCCTACCTTGCAGCTTCAAAACACTCTGTCTTCCACCCAAGTCCCAGGGAAATTTTGTTTCTAGCAGCCTCAAATTTACCTCTTTAGTTCAGTGACTTGTTTTTCCCCCCCCCCCCCCCCCCCCCCCCCCCCCCACCCAACAACACCCCCATC